CTGTGGACATAGTGTCAGGAGGGACCAGTCGCTGGAGAAGGATATCGTATTTGGTAAGTTGGAGGATAGGGAAGTAGAGGAAGACCCCCCAACGAGGTGGATTGGCCAAGTGGCACATCGATGGACTCAAGCGTGGCAACAGTAGAGAGGTTGGCCCAGGATCGGGCAGTGTTTTGTTCTGCTGTGCATAAGGTCGCTATGGGTCGGTTCCGACTTGATGGCACCTAACATCAACAACAAATATGTGTTACTATTTTATTAAAATATTCAAATAATTCAGAGAATGCTTCATGAAAACTAAACATATCCCCCCTTCCTCCACACATCCATTTGTATTCCTCTTGTTTTCTACATCCTTCCAAAACTTTTGGCGTTTGAACTGTTTTTTTCTGGTTTTGACATGAAATTTTACTTGGTGTTCTTCTGTACATTGAAAAAGATTCATTATTGGCTGTGTCTTCTTTCTTTGTCCCAGCACTGCTTATGTTTGTCTTGACTTCCTTGCTCAAACTTGTCAAAAATGTAGCCCTTTCAAAGAATCAGTACAAAACTTTTATTTATTCATTTGCTTTTTTGATTTTTTTAAATTTCTTCTTTAGTCTCATATATTTCCTTTACTTTTATTTGGTACTTTTCATTTATTTTCAATGTTTTTAAATAAGAATGTTTGAGGCTGTGTGTTTATACTGAACATTAAATGTGCGCAGTTTCAAAGTATGATCTTAATTCCAGTCTTTTAGGAATACGCAGGATTGTTCTAAGGAACTACCAAGAGGGGTTGTGGGGCTAAGAGGTATCGGTCCTTCATTACTTGTGTTTTCTATAAAATATGTTTTAACATATTTTTTTACTTTTGTTTCCTTCTTTGTTTAGAATGTCTTGTTTTGTGGTTTTGACCTCTTTTCTGGTACATGTCACTATTTTCATTTTCTAAATGTAGCACGTATGCTCATTGTGTAAGAAAAGTGAAAATTTTCATTTTAACCAACTTTTATTTTTCTAGGGTTGTTCTTTAGTGTTATTATTTTTAGTTTTTTTGTTGTTGAGAATATATACCAGTTCAACAATTTCTACATGTACTATTCTGAGTCATTGATTATATTCTTCAGATCGAACAGCCTTTCTCACCCTCGTTTTCTGCAGTTTCTCCCCATTAATATAAATTCACTGTCCCCCTTAGTGTCCTAGCTGATCTTTATAGTTGGTATTGTCCATGTGATCCCTTATGTCATTGTTGTTAAGTGCCATTGATTCAGTTCTGACCCATAGCAGCCTGTATGGGGTTTCCGAGGAGCGACTGGTGTGAACTGAACCCCCGACCTTGTGGTTCAAACCAACTTTACTAGCCAGGGCATTAACCCACAGCGCCCCACCAGGATTCTGTGATCCCATGTAGATTTTTCTTAAAAGAGTACAATGCTCAATCAAGGTAAACATTCTTTGCTAGTTAAGCTAAGCTGTTGTTTGGTCTTAAGCGTATTTCTGGGGATACTTTTAGTTTAAAAATTTAAGGTTTAGAAGATTATATTAGCATAATACTTTGGTGGGTTCATCCATAAGGATTTGAAATTCTGTTCTGTATTTTCCCTTTTGATTAGGATTCTTCCATAGAATTTTTAATCTAAATGTTCAGCAACATTTAGGAACATCTAGATCTGGCTCTCAGTGCATTTTAGAGAGCATTTAAAAAAAAAATGTACTTTTAAGGTTGAAGAGTAAAACACTGCGTAAGTTCAAGAGAAGTTTCCAAAGCCATCAAAATAGAAGTACGCATGACAGTCGTTTGATGTGACTTGTACGTTTTCTGTATTTTGTTTTGGCCAGCTAGATAGATGATCAGCTGAACACACTTTTGAAGGCCTTCCAGCTGACAGAGGAGAACACTAAGCTTCGGTACCTGACCTGCTCTCTCGTTGAAGACATAGCAGCTGCATATTTTCCCTTCTGTGCAATCAAGCCATTTGGCTCCTCAGTGAATAGTTTTGGGAAACTAGGGTGTGATTTGGACATGTTTTTGGATTTAGATGAAACCAGAAGACTCCATGCTCAAAAGGTAATTACATTTCCTAGAGCACTGTAATTATTTCAAGTTAAAAGATTCGAGAAAGTCAGGGAAATCTTTAGACTTAATGAAATGTGACGTGTTGGTTTCTAAATGTAATGAACATTGAGATTAAAGAACGGGACTATTTGATATTGATTCTTTGGGACTCTGTTGTGTGTGTGTATTTCATTTTAAGTGTCTATTTTAAGAGTTTGTGGAGTCCTGATGTGGTGCTGTGGGCTAGTGCACTGGACTGCAAAGTCAGTTTGAACTGCTAGGTCGGCCATTCAAGCTCATCAGCTGCTCCTCGAAAACCCTATACAGGGTCGCTATGAGTCGGAACCAACTTGACGACACTTAGCAACAGCAATAAGAAGTTTTAAGAGTTCAGAAGTTTCTCAGTTCAAAATTGTTTATTGTGTTATTTAGATTATTTTTATCTTAATTTCATTTTTCTATGTGTTTTCATGATTTTTTACTCTGTTGATTTCTCTTAAAAACATAAATGTTTTGTTTTGTTTCATTCAGCGGCTGTGTTACTTACATATTTGGTTGTTCTCTTTGTCATTCAGTTACATCCCTCTTCATTTCTATAATGGCGTTTGGCTTAAATCCTATTCTGCCTGCTACTGAGCTGCTCTACGTCATTTTATAGTTATTTGGGTACTTGTTTTATTCTTCAACCTAAGTTGACAGCAGTTAGGAAGAATGTGGTAGACTTTTTTGTATGTCTCATTGCACTTGTTGTTAAGTGCATTCGAGGCGATTCCTTTAGCAATACATTAAAAAGGAACCCTAGTGGTGCTGTGGGATAAGCATTGGCTGCTCCCTGAAAGCTTAGCAGTTCACATCTGCCCGCTGCTCCACAGGAAGAAGATGACGCAGTCTGCTTCTGTAAAGATTCACAGCTGTGGAACCGTGGGGAGCAATTTTCTTCTGTCCTATAGAGTTGCCAGGAGTCAGAATCACCTCAACAGTGTCTAGTTTTGTTTTTAAATACCTTAATATACTATAGGCACTAAGCAGATTATTGCTAATGAATAAATTAAAGCTATTTGTAAACAAAACTTGACTTTCTTAAATGTTCTTAAATATATAAAAAACCTTAACTGTGAAGTAGATAATTTAGTACAAAGTTGTAAGCTAAAATTTGTGCCATACTTTTGGTCTTTTCTTAAGTTTTACTGTATCTAATCAGGCTGCAGCTTGTAAGGTTTGAGGTAACAGAAGTAAAAACATGTGACTGAGTTCTGAATGTTGTTATCTGTTGTCTAAATTGTTGCTGGAAGCGAGTTCTTTTGTCCCCTCCTAAGGAACTCTGGTAAGGAGCTCTAGTAGCATAGTGGTTATGAATTGGGCTGTGAACCGCAGCCAGCAGTTCGAAACTACCAGCTGTTCCATGGGAGAAAGATGAGGCTTTCTGCTCCTGTAAAGATTTACAGCCTTGGA